TCCGCGCACCCCCGCTCGTGCCCGCGGCGCGTCCCCGCCGCGCGGCCCCTCCTCCCGGTGTTTATTAGGGGAAGGAGGCGGAGGCGGAGGCCAGTTCCCCAGCTCCAGCCGCCGCGCCTGCACCGTTGCAGCCGCGGTCGCCGCCCGTCAGCCTCCCCCAGGTCGGAGAGCGCGCGCGAGCTCGGGCGCCCCCGCCCAGCCTCCCCAGGAGCAACCATGAACCCCAACTGCGCCCGGTGCGGCAAGATCGTGTACCCCACGGAGAAGGTGAACTGTCTGGATAAGGTGAGCCCACATCGCGAGGCGCGTCTAGGCTGTGCTGGGGACTGGAGGAGCAGGAGAGGGGCTGGGTCTCCGCTGCCTTGTCCCTGCGATCGGGGTGCAGCGCAGGGGAGGGGGCTGCGTCCTGGGATTTGGGGACCGACCCGGGTCACGAGCCGGGGGTCGGGGGAGGCGTGCGCAGCCAGGGGATCCAGCGCCCTGGGGCTCAGGGACTGGGCGGCCAGGTTCGGGGTGTGTGCGTGTGTACGGGCTTAGGGGTGCACTCCCGCACCCCGGCCGCGAGGGCGAGCGCGGACGGCCGCTCCCTCTCCCGCGGCCCCGAGCGCCAAGTAGGCGGAAGCGCGGGCTGGGGGAGGGGGCGGGGCGCGGCGGGGACGCCTAACCGCGGCTCGGCCACCCGGGCTTCCGGGCCCCGAGGCTGGGGCGGGGGCTGTCGCGGCGATGGCGCGCCGGGTGCGGGGCACCTCGGGCCACACGCCCGTTTTAAAGCGACCTGGGGGTCCCTTTGGTGGAGGGGGGTGGTTTCGGGGCACTCGGAAATCTCCATTAAGGCTTCCCAGCCCCCCCACCTCGAATTAGCAACCGCCTCCCGGGGCTGGGCAGCCCAGCTTGAGCCAGGCGGGGTCGGGGGGCTGAGGTCGAGTGGGTGGGCGGGTAGGTGGCGCGCGCCTTGCAGGGATCCCCTGAAATTATGCGCAGCCTGCAGACCCGGCTCGTAGAACAAAGAGCTAACTTTTCGAAGCAGGTTTCTCCAATGGAGGGTGGGGTTGGCCGAGTTCTGGAGAAGCCGAAGGAAGGGGGAGGTATCGCCGGAGAGGGCAGGGTGGCCTTCTGGAAATGCCCTGTCCTCCGACGACACATAGGACCTCCCCCTACACACACCCTACGCTGGACTTGTTCATCTGGTTACCATTACACTTTCGGGGTGGGGGGGCTCGAACTGGGTGTTCCCAACACGCTTGGGGTAGGATCTTGTCCTCCTATAAGCGCTGGACACCTCGCTCGGGTCTGGGGGAGGCCTCCGCGTTTGGCCCCCTCCTCATCGATGCTTGTGTCCCCTACCGCCACCAGGCTCCGAGTCCAAATGTCCCCTCTTTACTGTCCAAACTGGCCGGAGAGGGGGGACTGCATAAAATAGGGGCGCGGGTTGATCTGGGGAGGCCCTGTCTCTGGGTTGTCTCCCTGCCCCCGCCCCCACTTCCTCCTTGATCTTTGGCCCTTGAGTCACAGTGAGGGGGCGGGGCTGGAAAGGTTCAGAGACACTTCAGAGCTTGCTCTTGGAGGCAGAGGGGCTGGGGCTGTGGGACAGGGACTCTGGGGGGAGGGGTAGAGGAGACACGGTGTGCACCTAGTGACCGAGCCAGCCCCTGGAGCTGGAGCGGCACCCTTGGAGAGCTTAGCTATCCTTCCGGTGTGGTCTTGGCCCCCCTGGAGGAGGGAACTTGCCCCCCGCCTCGGGAGTCCTGAGCTCCTCTTCTGTCTGCCTTGACTGCAAGGCAGTCTGCCCCAGCGAGTCTTAGGAATGGCTCTGGGCCTCGGTGGGATGGTGCCCTTGCCTGGCACGGAGTGTCCTGTGCTTGCCTACCTTTCACTGCATGTCAGCTAGGAGAGGGCAGGGACCTGCAGGTCATCCTTTCCAGCTGTTCTTGACCCTACCTGAAAGAAGGCCTCCGAGTGGGGAATGACCCTGGGAAGTAGAAGTGGGTGATTCCTCTGTGCTGTTTTAAAACAGCCTCCTGCTATGCAGCTCCGGCTGGTTTTGATCTCACTTTGTAGTGCAGGGTGGCCACAAACTGTCCAGCCTCCAGCCTCAGCCTCCAGAGTCCACATTGAGATACGCAGAATTGATTTGCAGAGGTGAAAGTGCTTTTTCTTTCTTTTCTTTTTTTTTCCTTACCAGGGATCAAATTCAGGACCTTGTGCTTGCCAGGCAGCCGCTCAGGTCACTAGGCTATATCCCTGACCCCACCCTCTGTTTTTAGAACTCTTCTTCCCACTTCCAGGAAGTGCTGCTAGAAAGACTGTCCTTTCCCTCCTGTCCTGTGCCAGAGGCCTGAATATCTGGTGTCAGTTCTGATCCTTGCTACCTCTTCAGGGCAGGGAGGGCAGGTGGGACAGGCAATGGGATGGGGACAGGGACGGGGTCGGGGATGGGGGCCTGGGGGTGAGATTGGGCCCAGACAGAGTGGACTCTGGTCTACCCTTAGGCACTGGCTTCCCTCCCAGGTGGGGAGAAGCCCATTGACCTCATTCACTCTTTCTTTCAGCAAGTATTTATTTGTTTGTTTGCGGTACTGGGAATCAAACTCAGGAATCTCTTGCTTGCCAGGAATCAGGAGGTATTTATTGAGCACTTATATCCAGGGACTTATGTAATTAAGAGTCCTGCTGAGTTCCTGTCTACTGGCTGGGCTGCTGCCCCCTGGCTTCAGAGAGAGGTGGAGAACCTCAGGAAGCGCCAGGCTGCTTTGGTTCCCGCTCCCCTGGAATTGCTGGAGAGCTGGAGATAGTGAACCCTTAATGGGGACTGGGATAGGTGAATTCGCAGCTGGGGCTCCTGCCCGGCTCCTGCTCCACAAAAAGCACTTTTGCCTGACCTCGGCGTATCTCAGTGTGGACTCTTTGGGAGACACACAAGTATACACACACACACACACACACCCTGTAATATCTAAACACTCTAGGAGGCTGAGGCAGGAGGATTACAAGTTCAGCCTCAGTGTGGGTAATTTAGTCACTTAGCAGCACCCTGTCAGAAAATGAGAAATAATAGAAATGCTGCGGGATGGAGCTCAGCGTGAGCTTGGTTCAGCCTCCACCGGGCAGGCCCTTGGGGGGCTGAGCTGTATCCCCCAGCTATATCTCTCTACTCTTCTCTGATCTTCTGTGTTTTTTGAGACAGTGTTTCAGGTTGGCCTTGAACTTTGTAGCTCAAGCTGGCCTCAAACTTGCAACAATCTTTCTGCCTCAGCCCTACCACACTTGGCAGTCTGTGTCTTTTGTATTTCATTTGCAAGATCTGTCCTTTTTGTTTTGTTTTGCTTTTTTTTTTGAGACAGGGTCTTGCTCTGGAGTCCAATAGCCTAGGTGGGCCTCAAACTGAAAGCAGTCCTGTCTCAGCCTCCTGAGGGCTAGGCTTACAGGTGTCTACCACCACACCTTGCTACAAGATCTGTGCCTTTAAGGCAGTGGCCCAGGTGGCCCAGTGAGCCAAGCTGGTGACCGCCAGGGTGGAGCTAGCGATGACTCTGGAGGAGGAAAAAAAAGAAAGAAACCCTGGGCACCAGGAAGGGAGGTGAAGGCCCCAAGCTCCAACCCTGAGTCACAGCCACCTGGGCGGGGCCCCAGGCCGCAGGCTGTCACCTGAGGTGCCTCTACTCACTGGCAGGGAGGGGCAGGACTGGACCCTTGCGGGGCTTCTGTGCCCCAGCCCCTGTTTCCCTTTCTGTGGGTTGGATTTTCCACAGAGGAGTTTGGAGGAGGTCAAAGGAGCGAGGGAGAGCGTCTCCCCTCTGCCCAGGTCCTGTCCGGGCTGTCTGGGCTGCGAACCCTGGACGTCCAGCAGGCGGGCATCTCTTAGCTTTCCTCACTCTGAAGTCCCAGGAATATTTACCTGAAGTTTTCTCTTTTGAGAAGTGTCGATGGGCCTGCTACAGTCTCCTGAGGCCTGGGATGATAGGCATATGTCACTGCACCCAGCCTGTGGGGTCAGGGAAAGGTGTGGGGTTTCTGGGCACCATGGGGGGAGGTGGCTTCCACATGCCCTTGCTCTGCTTCCCAGAGCTAGAGGCAGCTCAGTACCACCGCCCTGCTGGCTGGCACTCGGGCCATTATTTCCATTTTGCTTCTCCTGAGGCCTCTGTGGGGGGCACAGTGGTCACCATCATCCCTGAGTCAAGACAGCAGGGAATTCTGGGCCTGGGGGAGGTGGAGAACTGGGTGGGGGTGAGCTGGCCCCTCTAGCGGGGCTCCCCTTCCTCCCTGGCCGTGGCGGGGTTCTGTGGAGCCTGTGACGTTGACCTGCACCCCACCCGGTCAGTAGCCCCTGTCCCTGCCCCACACCACCCTTCTGGCCATCTGCTCGGTGGGGGTGTCTGTCTCCCCGCCACATAGCTCTGGCCGTGGAGGTCCCCGGGACAGCATGCTCCCACATCTGTGTGCAAAGTGGGTCACGGTCTGGATTCTGAGAATATTTTTCCTGCCAGCCCCTTCGGGGGTGGGGGAGGTGGTGCCCAGCGGCTCCTATTGGGCAGAGGTGGCTAGACTGGGGGTGGTAGAGGGGCCAGTCACTAGGGGGTTGTCTCTTTGGGCACCTGGGGGACAGGACCACCCTGCTTCAGCTTTCCTTGTGCACTGCGGGGAGTCAGGCAAATCGCAACTTGGGTCCCAGTGAGGTGAGGTGAGGTGGACCCCACGGAGCTCAAACCCCATCCTTTTACTCCTGGACTTCCAGCTGCTGTCTATGTAGAGGGGTTCTCCTGTCACCTCCAAGACGTTCTATTCTGAGGTCTTCCTTGTAGGTCTCCTGGGCAGGGAAATATATAGAGGACGGTCACCCCAGAAATTAGGCTGAGGGTCCCTGGTTGAAGTAGGTGGTAGGCGGTTGAATCCCAGCCCCTCAGCTTCCTTTTTTGCAGCCCTCTTGAATGGAGAGCACTTGAAAGAGTAGCATCCCAGGGCTCCTGGTCTCCCCTGGTCTACCCCGGTCTCCTGTGCAAGAATTTGCCAGGGCTGCACGGCTTTTCCTGGGGTGGGGTCCCCTCTCTGGTATCTCCTCTGCCCTCCCCCCAGTTGCATCCCTACTGTCTGTACCCAGCACCTGACTCTAGGGTGTGTCACCCACTGTCAGGACACTGCCCAGCCTCCAGTGATGTCCCCTTGGGCTCCAAGGTGCACAGGCTGCTGCCCTACCTGCCTTTTCTGGGGGTGCAGGAGGGAGGAGGGGTGCCGGGCCTGCTGCAAAGGATGCTCCCCACTTCCTGGTCATAACTCCCCTGGGAAGGAGGCAGCACTGGAGCATGAGGAGAAATGCTGCAAGCTGGGGGAGGGGGCCTCCCGTTCCCAGGCCCTGGGGGGCTGCAGAGCTTGGATAGGAGGTGAAGCTGGCCTGGGGGGCTCTTGGCACCCATCACCCCCAGGTCTGCCTTCTCCTGTCCCGCCATTCCCTGGCTGCCTGCTGGGGGTGGGCTGGGAGTCTGTCGTCTGCTGGCGCCTGATGGGTGTCCCTGTGTCTCCCTCCACCTGCAGTTCTGGCACAAAGCATGCTTCCATTGTGAGACCTGCAAGATGACCCTAAACATGAAGAACTACAAAGGCTACGAGAAGAAGCCCTATTGCAACGCGTGAGTGCTCACTCGGCGGCGGGCGGGCTGTTCCCTTCCCCTCTGAGAACTGCAAGGTGACCCTGCCGCATTTGGGCCCCCTGCCCTGTGTCACAACCACAACGGATAGGTGCAGCAAGGGCTCTTCCTGTCCCCATTTTACCAGTGAGGAGACTGAGGATACAGGAAGGGACGTTGTGAAGATGAAGGGCTGGGCATAGGGGACATGGCGTGCGCACACCCTGGTGTCATGGGGTTGGGATGGGTCTTGGCCCTCTCTTCGCACCTGTTCCCCATTTTTCTTCTATGTATAAGGGCTGAGGGCCTGGTACACCCCGGCTGTCCTCTCGTGGCCAGGGACTCTGCCAGTTCCTCTTGCAGCCCCACTGGTCGCAAATCCAACTTAGCCGAGATCTGAGGTATTCACACGGATTGAGGTCTGATTTGGATGGAGCTTTTTGCTTTTTGCATCCCTTTGAGAGCAGGAACAGGAGGTGGCAGTTTCTTGAATGCCAAAGCCCGGAGTCTTAGATTAATACTCAGACAGGAAGCTCTTCGGAGCCAGAGTCCACCCAGGAAGGCAGGCTTGGGACTTGTCCAAGAGGGCTTGGGACCTGAGCCTTCGCTCGCGTGGTCACTCCCAGGGCCTTCCTGTACCTGGGCCTGCCCCTGAGGGCTTGGAGGGGTCATCTCTGAGTGATTGTGTCCTGCTACTGGGTGCCTACCTGTGTCAGCTATGGGGACAGCCGCTTTCGGATAAGCTCTCAGGCCCAAGAGGCCGTGAACACATCCCTTCTGAAGGGCTGGATCCCGGCAGGTGTCCCCGGTAGAGGGAGGGCCAAGCTTAGCTCAGGCCGCCACCGCCACCGCCACCACCACCGCCACCACCACCACCACCACCACCACCACCGCCGCCGCCGCCGCCGCCGCCGCCGCCGCCGCCGCCGCCGCCGCCGCCGCCGCCGCCGCCGCCGCAGCTGCCCCTGGCTCTGCTACCCCCAGCCCCTCCCAGCCCCAAGGGAAATGGGACATTCTTTGAATTCTTATGGGCTCACACAAGCCTTGATTCTCTGCCACTTCTTCCCTCTTTGGGGAGTGGGGTGGGGTTCAGAGAAGCTGAGCCACTTAACCCGTTGGGGAGCAGAGGGTGCCAGAGCCAGAGCCCAGTGCATCTTCCCGCTGCTTGTGAGCCGCCACGACCTAGAACTTGGCGAGCGCTGGGAGTTGAACGGGACATCGGAGGCCTGTCCTTGTTTCCTATACGCTTTGTAGCTTGGTGCCCCAGTCCTGGCTCACTTTGTCTCAGTGTCTTCTGGGGATCCCATAAGGAACAGGTGAGACCACGGGGACTGCAGGTCCTCTGGCTCCTGGTGCCCAGCTGGGGAACCCCTTCTGCTTTCCTCTCCAGCATCCAGCTGGCCTCTGGCCCAGCTAGGGACGACCTGGCTGTGAGCAGAGACCTGGGCGTCTGGCAGTGGGCCCAGTGTGGCTCCATCCGGTGTGAGCCCTCGGCACCTCTCTAAGCCTTGTTTTCTCCTTAGTTAAAAATCCCTGCCCGTCCCAGCACTTGGAAGGCTGAGGCAGAAGGATCGCTGAGAGTTTAAGGACAGGCTGGACTATATCGTGAATTCAAGTCCAGCCTGTACTACATAGAAAGACCTTGTCTCAAAAAAAGAAAAAAAAAAAATCCTTGCTACCAGAGGATGCTCTGTATCAGATACTGTGCCAGTGCTGCTGGCTTTTCCTCTTGATTTCTTCCCCTTGCTGTACCTCTGAGAATGAGCCCAGGGTCTTGTCCTCACTGGGCAAGGCCTCCACCACTGAGCCATGCCCCAGCCCTTTCCTAGTTTTTTCTTTTTTTCTCCTTTTCCTCCTCCTCCTCCTCCTTCTTCTCCTCCTCCCCACCCCCCTTTGGATTTTTTGGGTCTTGCTACGTGATTCAGGCTGGTCTTGCACTCACAGTGGTCCTCCTGCCTCAGCCTGCCACATCCCTCCTGCTTTCTGCCTGCCTCTGGCCCCGACCTTTGGTGGCAGTCAGCTTCCTGAGTCATGGTAGTCCATGTAGAGCTGTCCTGTTCCCATCTTCCTGCACAGCTCCTCTATCCCCTGGCTGGGCCAAGCCTTTTGCAGGCCACACAGGTGTGGGTGGTTGGATTGTGGTCTTTTTCCCAGGTCCTGGGTACCTCACAGTGATGGTGTAACTGACACTAAAAGTGACTGGGAGCAGAAAGAGGCTGCTTCTGTGTGTCTTGGCTTCCAGGTGGGTGGGGTGAGCCTGCCTTGGCTAGATAAACCCTGATGCCCTTGATGATTTGTTTTGTAAATGAGATTCCCCAACCCCTGGCTAGTGTCACCTGCCTGATGGTCTCCTTGCAAATGACTCCCCACCCAGGGCAGGGCAGGGCAGGGCAGGGCAGGGCAGGGCTGGGCCCAGCTGGATGCTCCTCTGTGAGAGGAGGCTAGGTTTTTGGGGTTCCAGGGGCTGGGCATGGGCCAGAAATGAGAGACTCGGCTGCATCTTTTTCCTCATCATCGATCACAGATGGTGGGGTTTGCCCAGCAGTTTGTTGGAGCTGTGGGGTGCAGGGCTGGGAAGATGGAGGTGGCCTGACACTGGGGGCCGGGCCTGCTCCTGCCCCATCCCCAGGCCTTAGAGGGGAGGGAGGGGTGAGGTCTGTGGCAGGATTGCTCTGTAAGGCCAGCTGGCCCCGAGCTCCCCACCTCCCCCGGCATCCCCCTGAGTGCTAGCAGACAGGCGCATACCATGCCCAGCTTGGTTTTCTTTCTTTCTTCTTTCATTCATTTGTAGGCTGCAGTCCTGAGGGCTGGGAAGTTCTTCCTGCAGTCTGCCCTTGATCTTTTCCTTCTCCTCTGGTCAGACAGCGGGGCCTTGTTGCTTCCTTTCTCCAGTGCTTTGCCCCAAGGCCTGGGGGCCAGGAGGGCACAGGAGCGGAGAAAGTGGGTTAGGGAGTCCCCCTGCCGGCCCTGGGCAGCCTTCCCAGCAGGGGCTTTAGAATCAGCAGCTCCAACCAGAGGCGGCAGGATGTCGGGGCTGTTTTTCTGCTGGGTTTTTCCCCCCTCTTTTGGTGAAACCAGCATCTCCTTGTTGCTTCTGTCGATGTATTTTTGTTCCACCTTGAGCTCAGAGCTGTGCTTTTTGAAGGGGTCCAGGACTAGGAGGGCCCTGCAGAGAGGGGAGCTGGGCTGCGAGGATGATCTCTGCTCTGTCCTCATTCTGCCTCTGGAGTGGAGCTGGTGGCAGAGAGTGCCGCGGGTGGGCTGTCCCTGTCACCCGGGAACCCTTCTAGCTTTTCAGGATCCTCCCTGCCCTTGAGGGCTTCCAGGAATGAAGGTGGTTCAGAGATCCTCTGGGTGATCCCTTTCCTGGGACAGAGGTTGCCTGCCTGTGACTGTGGGTCACTCTCCCCAGAGGACCCTTGCTTTTAGAATTTTGTCATGGTTGTGTTTTTGAGACAGGGTCTCACTATGTAGCTCAGGCTGGCCTGAGCTTTCTGCAAGCCATCCTCCTGCCTCAGCCTCTTGAATGCTGGGATTATAAATTTGCATCCACACCCTTGACTGATAAGGCCGAAGTCTGGCAGGTAGAGTGCGTAGGACATGGGACAGGGCTCCTCTGTGGCCGTGCTGTGTCCTGCAGGCCAGGCTGCTGCCCACACCTTTGTTTCTGGCCACCAGACTTCCTGGTGCCTTCAGGGATGCCAAGTCCTTTCTCCTGCCCCCAGATGCCCTGCCTAGCAGCTGCTTCCTGTGTCTCCTGACAGCGGGAGGAGTGTGGCGGGGCCTGGGCAGCCCCCAGGGTGGACTCTGCTGCCCCCTTACCCTGCCCAGGGTCCAGGCTGTTGTGGGACATGGTTCCAGCTAGGAAGGGTGGCTCTGTGTCGTGGGCATGCACAGCGTATGCGTGCGCTCACACACACACACACACACACACTCGCACACCCTCTGTCCAGCCTGGAATCTGAGGGCAGTGGTTGCCAGGGGGATTCAGCCAAGGACAGAGAGACGGCCCAGTCAATTGGAGCCCACTTCAGAGCCAATCCTGTTGCCAGGAGGAGGGGCAGGGCCACCTCCCTCTGCAAACCCAGGTGCCTGCCTTGTTGCCTGCCTCCACCTCCGTGGTGACTGGGATTCTGCACACAGTTGACCTGGTTGGGCCCTCATGAGCTTCTCCTTGGTCGAGGTCATCTGTGCTGTCTGCTGCTCCCCCCTTCCCCCATCCATACCCTGCAGACCCCTCTGTCTCTCCGCTCTCTTGCCTGGAGCTGAAGATGCAGTTGCCATGGGAACCTGAAGCCAGTGAGCAAGGGAGGAGAGAGGCAGGGTTGTCTCACCAGGGCTGGGGGCTGGGGGCTAATGGCTGACCCAGCAGGAGAAGCGCCATGCAGGGGGAGGTTGGAAGCCTCAGAGCTGCTCTTTAATCTGCTTAATCTGCTGCTGGATTAAAATCCTTAACCACCCCCAGCAAATTAAACCAAGTTGAAGTCTTGGCTGGTTCACCCCACCCCTCCTTTTCCATAGGATTAGTGTTCTGGTTCTGGGGCATGAGGTTGTGGCCCCTAAGAGAGGATGGAGCACTCTAAGAGAGACTGGATGCCGAGCCACAGGAGGAGGAGGGACGTGGCCTGGGGGGCTGTGGGTATGTGTGTGGGGGTGAGCAGCAGCTCCCTCGTTGTCCTGCAGAGCACAGGCTCCTGGTTCACAGGCTGGGGGTGGTGAAGGTTCCAGGGGCTGTGCTTGGGGGGGTGAGAAGGTGCTTGTGGCTGTTGTACTCACAGCACCTGGCTGTCCTTGGGCCACCCGAGCTGACTGCCCTGATTTAACCCTGTGCATCCCAGGGAGTGCTTGGGGAGCCCCTCGCCCTGCCACTTCTGGCTGCCCTATCTCCCCCAACGATGACCCTCTCTCTTAGAGTGGACCTTGTACGGCAGACCCAGAGCTGTCCACACCTGGGAGGGTCAACTCTGAAGCCCTCCGCCCCGTGAGCTCAGGCTGGCCAGTTCTGCAGGGGCCAGGGATCTTGTTCCCTTTAGCTGCACCCCTACCCCTCCATTCTCGGGAGCTTTGAAGGTGCTTCTGAGCTGTGGGTGGAGCAGGGCCAGGCCCAGGCCAGGCCCCGCCCCCTGCAGTCATCGCGGGCCATTTCTGGTGCCCTACCTGGCACCTGTGTTTGCATTTCTCTTCCCTCGCTCTGCAGGGGCTCAGCAGGGGGAGCTGCGCTCGGCTGGCGTGGGGGCCAGGGCGGGAGAGGGCTCGCCAAGGTCACGCAGCGAGTAGGCCAGAGCCGTGCCCTTCTAGCTATGGCCCTGTGGACTGGCTTGTGCACCCCGAGGTGCTGCCCTTCACCTGCCCTGCTCAGAGAGAAGCCGTGTTCACAGGTAGCTGGGGGCGGTGCTGGCCGCTGTAGGACATGCCAGGTTTGGCACATCGCGGGCAGGTGGCGGCGCAGGGCCAGCTCCCCAGCTGAGCCAGGCCAAGATGGCCGACTCAGGAGGCTATCACCACCTCTTACCTGGGACCTGCAGTGGTCACAGGTGCGGCGGGCCTGGTCACCCAGAGTCAAGAATGCCCAGGTCTTGGGCTCTGGCTTGGAGTGGCCGGTCACCCTCGAAATAGCTGGGCCCACATGGCCACTGCTGTTCCATGACAGCGTGCGTGCGTGTGTGCTTGTGTGTGTGTGTGTGTGTGTGTGTGTGTGTACACCAACCACCACAACTCCTGGCTGCCTCTCCTGTCATTGGTTTGCTGCAGGGTCTTGTGGTGACCTAGGGGTTACAGGAGACCTGAGTTCTGGTCCTGGCCCAGTTAGTTTAACCTTTGTTTATTCAACAAGTATTTACTAAACACAGCCCTGTTTAGCACTTGGGGCAAATCAATGCACGGTGGTGACCACCGCTGTGACCGGAAAACAAAGCTGTGGCGATCTAGGAGCAGCAGTGGGGGGACAAGATCATAACACCGGTGATGAGCATCAGCCATGGTTCACTCCCCTGTGAAATGACAGGGCTGTTCTCAGGGGCCACCCTGCCTCATCCCACCTCGAGGCCAGCTGTGTCTGGGATCAGGACCCTGGGCTGTCCTACATCTGGGGTAGGCGGCTGGAGCCCTATGTTCGGGTCTCTGAGGATTTTGTGTGGGGCAAGGCTGGGTCCTGCCTTGGTCTCTTGTCTGTCAAAGGGGGACCGTGGCCGTGGTAGCCATGGAGAGGGGTTGGGAGGACTGGGGGAGCACAGGCACCAGGCAGGCCTTGCTGTCCCTTGGAGGGCACTTGGAGGACTTCCTGCCGCTTTTGTTCCCCACGCCTTGGGATGTAGCCAGCAGTTAGCACTTGCCTCAAGTCTGCCTGGGGCCTTGGGTTTGATTCCCAGCACCATCAGATCCAAGGACAGCTGAAACACTACTTTGCCTATCTACAATCTCTGTCCCCACCTGCTCCAGGAATCCTCTCTCTCTCTGTGTGTGTATTTGTGTGTGTGTGTGTGTGTGTGTGTGTGTGTGTGTGAGATTTCCCTTCTATCTTGTGTTTCTCTTTTTTATGTGGGTGGGTACTAGGAATCAAACTCTTGATCTCATGCTTGCCAGGCAGGTGCTGTGCCACTGAGCTACATCCCTGGCCCTGTCTTGTGTCCCTCTTGCCCCACCTGGGCACTGTTGGTCTCCATTTTTTATTTGAGGCAGAGCCCGCTGTGGAGCCCGGCCTCAGATGTGCCTGCCTCCAGCCTGAGTGTCCCCAGGGCGGGATTCGCAGCCCGTGCCACCGTACCTGGCGTCCATTTCCAGTCCTGGCCCCAACCCTGTGCCCATGTACTCCCCAGCCTGGTGAGGTCATCCTCGGTGGCCCAGACCCACTGACCTCTCTGTGGGAGGCTTCAGGACATGGATCTGCCAGACACGGAAGCTGGACACTGACTGGCCTTCCTGGGCCTCTGGCTTTTCTGGTTCCGCTGCCCCAGATCCGGTCTGAGGAGCACTCCTCTTCACACGGAGACAGTGACCCCAGGGTCCTGGGGCTGCCCAAGGTGAAGAGGAAGTGGCGCTGGGAGTGACGCCTCTGTTCTGTCTCGCAGACACTACCCCAAGCAGTCCTTCACCATGGTGGCCGACACCCCAGAAAACCTTCGCCTCAAGCAGCAGAGCGAACTTCAGAGCCAGGTAGGGGAGACAGACGTGTGTGGGTGGACGGTGGCTGGGCCTGGCAGGGCTCCTTCCCTGCGGTCAGCCCTGGGGCCGAGGTGCTGCAACTGGGCCGTCCCACCCCCAGGCGGTTGCGTCACACTTCCTGGCTTCCGCGAGGTGCATGTCTGTGTGACTCTGCCCTGCCCCCCAAAGCCTGCCTCCCAGAGCAGCAGCTCGGTTCACCCCATCTGCTCGCAGGGTCGGGTTTGGGGCTCAGGCTGCTCGGCCTCCACCATGGCGACCCCAGACCTTCTCCACGCTTGAAGGGCAGCTGTAAAGGGGCCTGGCTTTCCTGAGCCCTATGGTGGGGGGCGGGGAGACACCTGGTTCAGGGGACACGAGCAAGAAGCCAGTGGGCTGGCCAGGTGTGGTGGCACACACTGGCCGGGGCGGGAGGATCTCGGGTTCCAGTCCAGCCTGGGTAATTTAATGATTTGGCTAGTTAGTGAGATCTAATCTCGAAATAAATAATAAAATTGGGGATGTGGGGGATATAGCTCAGGGGCCTAAGCGCCTGCAAGCACAAGATTCTTAGTTCAATCCCCAGTACCACAAAAAAACAAAAAGACCAAAAATACCAAAAATAACGTAACGTACCATACAAAATCAAAACCCTGGGTTCAGGCTCAGGACCAGAGAGTGCAGGAGAGCTCGAAATCAGGGCAGGCGGGCTGACACCAGCAGGCTGCAGCAGAGACGGTCTCGGCATTAATACCATGATCTTGGGGCTCCGTGCTGCTCACAGTGAGCTCCCTGAACCCTTACACCAGCCTTGCACACTGCAGATGTGACAGGTGACGCCAGTGCTTTTGAGGTTGGCTTGAGGACGCTGGAACGGGTCCTTTCTGGTTCCCTGTCTGAGTGCTGGTGCCCTTGAGGCTGCTGAGGCCATCCCGGCCTGGGGGTGTTTGCCCTCCTCCCCTTGCCCACTGGGCTGGGGCTGGGGCTGAGGCTGGGTGGGAGACTGATCCTCTTTACATCCCAGCTTGGGGACTGGTGTTGGCTTTGCCTGGTGACACAGTGAGGGCTCTGGTCATTTGATCTCAAGTGCAGTGGGCAGCCCAGGTGTGGAGACTGTGTGACGCACCTGGGTCAGGGGCATGGGCGCCCCAAGGAGGCTGGGCTGCACGGGCGTATGCTGGTGTCCCTGCAGGGGTGTGTGTGGCCTCTTGCGTACCCTTCGCATCTCTACCCCCCACGTGGGAACAGTGGGAGAAGCGCTTGCTGTGTGTCCAGAGTTTTGGCCTGTGGCTTAGGGGACTTGGCCTGGGGCAGGAGTGTGTGTGTGGGCCCTGTCCCTGCTCCTGTCAGCTGTGAGGCCTGAGGTGTTTTTTTTTTTTTTTTGGCAGAACTGGGGGTTGAACTCAGGTCCTTGAGCTTGCCAGGCAAGTGCTTATTCCACTGAGGTATGTCCCCGGCCCCAGGCCTGAGGTTTTATCTGCCTCTCTTGGCTTCTTCCACCACTGTGTCCTGAGGCTGGAAGGCCCTGGCTGCCCTGGCTGGGGTTCTGGTGCCTGCAGCCCTGTGTGGTGGCTGGTGACAAGGGAGTGGGGTCACCTCCGCCCACCCACCTGCATGTGCCCCCACACCCCCCTGTCCCTGCCCAGGAAGCCACTGTGCTATTCCTGCTTTGTTTTCCACTTGCTATATTGGTCCCCAAAGTGGCACTTTAGATGTCTGGGACACCTGTGGTTTCCCCTGCACAGCGGGATGCCGCAGAGCTGGCCCCATAAGAGGCTGCGAGCCCCCATCACAGGCTGAGCCAGGCCAGCCATCAGTGCTGGGAGGGTCTCCCTCATTTCTTTTTTATTGGCGCCTGCTGGCACTGGAGGGGGCCACAATGGAGGGCGGCCATTGTGCAGGGAGTGCCCGGGTGCCTGAGCCCTTTGATCTTGTGCCTGGCACAGCAGGCAGCACCTCCTGGTAAATGTCCCTCAGCTGCACGGGTGACCGTTCTGGTGTGTGAAGTAGGGGTTGCCGTCCTAAGGTGGCCTTGTGGGTTTCAGGATGTGGGGCCGCCTGGCTCCTCCTGGCCTGAGGCAGCACTAATAAGTGTGCCTTTCTGTGTCCTAGAAGGGACGGGAAATGGGTGCAGAGCCCTTTGACCCCACTTCTAGCCCTGGCCTTTCTCTTAGCTCTGTTCCCTATCTGTGCAGGACTAATTTAAAAACTCGCTTTTCTTTCAGATCAGATAGATAGGTCTTGTTTTTTTTTTTTTTTTTTTTTTTTTTTTTTTTTTTTTTTTTTTTGCGGAACGGGGGATCGAACTCAGGCCCTTGTGCTTGCCAGGGAAGCACTTATTCCACTGAGCCATCTCCCCAGCCCCAGATAGGTCTTGTAGCATGGGCGGTCATAATAGAGGCCTGTGGTGGATTTTGCCTCTGGCCTCGAATTGTGGTGAGTCTCCTGCCTCAGCCTCTGAGTGCTGGGATTATAAGCCTGGTACTTACAACTTTTTTTTTTTTCCTGCAGAACTGGGATTGAACTCCGGCTCTTATGCTTGCCAGGCAAGCGCTTATTCTACCGAATTATCTCTCTGGCCCCTAACAGTTTTTTTGTGGAACCAGGGATTGAACTCAGGCCCTTGTGCTTGCCAGGCAAGCGCTTATTCTACCGAATTATCTCTCTGGCCCCTAACAGTTTTTTTGTGGAACCAGGGATTGAACTCAGGCCCTTGTGCTTGCCAGGCAAGCGCTTATTTTACTGAGCCATCTCCCCAGCCCAACATTTTGTTTTTAAGTCATGATCTTTTCTTCACTTTCTGAGCAGGCGGCCAGGAAGGGCAGTGAACTCAGGGCTGAGTGACCAATGAACAGGACAGAGCGGGGGAGAGTCAGGACCTACAGACAGAAAGCAGCACCACACTGCCAGGGCTGAGTGGGCGGCAGGAGCCCCAGGCGGAGGCCAGCCCTGCCCTGGGAGTTTCCAGAGTGGGAGGCTGGGCACCAACCTGGGATGGCATCTTCCGGCCAAAGTGCTGAGTCGCACTCTATCCCCACAGATCGCTGTGTTGAGTGGCCTTGGGCGGGTCTCCCAGAACCACTGCACAAAGCCCCCTCATCTGCCCGACCGGGCAGGTGTTCCCATGTGGGCATTGGGGACCTGTCTGGTGGCTGGACTCCGCCACCCCTGCATGCTCCGGGCCTCACCCCGGCCACCTGGCACCCCTCGCAGCACTGGAAGCCCTTTAGAATTTTCCCTACTTGCCCTTCCGGGTGGGGCCCAAGGGTGCTCAGGAATAACAGCAGCTCCAGAGCCTGACGTTTTTCTTGAGCCTGAGCCTGGCTGCATAGTTCAGGCTGGGCTTGAATCCAAGTTCACTGCAATTCTCTTGCTGCTTTTTGAGTCAGGGTCTCACTGTGTCATTTAGGCTGCCCTGAAGCTCACTGTGTAGGACTGGGGAGATAGCTCAGCGGTCTAAGCACTTGCCTGGCGAACGCAGGGATCCAGGTTTGATTCCTGTAACTGCATTCCCGTGCCGGCCACTGAAATTGGGCATGGCGGTGCACACCTGTCGTCCCAGTTCTGGGGAGGCTGGAGAGAGGAGGATCACTAGGAGTCCGAGCCCCGCAGTGAGCTCCTGTACCAAATACATAAGTGAGTTAAGTAATTAATTTTTAAAGACTTCACTGTGTAGCCCTGACTGGCCTCGAACTCACGCAGTCCTCTTGCCTCAGCCTCCTGAGTGCTGGGATTACAGGTGTGGCCTCACCTGTCCCCTTCAGCCACCCAGAGAGGGGAGCTGGCTTGCTCTGGGCCACACCAGGTGACCCCTGCCCCCCTACCCTCTCAGGCCTTCATTCAGAGGGAACTAAATCCCCCTTCTTGGCAAGGACAGAGGGCTCCGGGCCTGGGAACCGGCTGATGTCACTGCATGTCACCATGGTGATGGCTCCCTGAGGATGAGCAGCGCCTGACCCTTGCAAAGCCAGGAAACAGAGGAGGGAGCCAGCCTGGCGCTGGGTCAGCACAGCTGGGACAGCACTTTCACAGCCTGGTTTCCCTTGCCGGGTGTGGCCTCGGAGCTGCGTCAGAGGTCCCCACTCTCCGCCGTGCAGATGTGGACGCTGAACCTTGAGAGGTCAAGGCTGAGGCTAAAGGTCACCAAGCAATAGCGCACCGAAGTGGGCCCTGTCCTCTGCTCCGACTTCCAGTCTGATGGGCCCTGACCCACACCCGCCAGCCCCATTAGCTTTTGGTTTTTTGAAACAGGTTCTTGCCTCAGCCTCCTGAGTAGCTGGCATCAGGCCCTGGCACCAGGCCCAATCTGCAGGGAAGTGTGGCACCTGACAGGCGTGGCTCCCGCAGGGGTCAGGTCAGGGTCCAGAGCGGGATGCTGGGCCAGGAGTTCCGAGCAGCCTGGACCTGTCATCCAGGTGCTGTTGAGGCCCCCCCATGTCCTGGGCTGACCTGGTGGAGGACAACAGCCCCGGGAGGAAGTGCACGCAGCTGTGCGCCTGGAACAGATGGCCCCCAAGGTGGCTGAGAGCCTCTGGGAGGTGCGACCCACAGACCCCCACGGAGGTGGGCCAGCCCTCGCTGCTTTCCCTGTGGCCTGGGGAAGCCTGCCTTGGACTCTGGCACTTCAGCTTGGCAGTGGGGCAGTGGGTCCCCCTGTGGGCCCTCTGTCCTCTGTCCCCGCCCACTTCCTGCCCTCCCCTCCGTGGCAATGGCCTTGGAAGCCAGTCTGGCTCCAGGAAGCCTGGGCCATCAAAGGCTCATTGATCAGCCTCTGCTTTGGCTGTGTCACGCTGCCTTTCCGGACACAGACTTAGTCCTTGGGCACAGGCCCCTCAGCGAAGTCACCAAGCTCTCTTGAGCAGGGCCTCATCCTGGTGGGGTGGACCTCTGCCTATGGCTTCCTGTCGAGGGCCCTGTAGGCGCGGGTGTCGGGCCGGTGGGCGTCTCATCCTGGGGCCCTGGATGTTGGCCGCCAGGCTGTGTGAGCTCCCGTGGGAGGCACTGCCTCTGGATGGCTCAGTGTCCTCTGTGAAATGGGGCAGTGCGTGTGTGCGTGTGTGATGACACATGCCCCTGTGCTGGGTGAGTGTGAACAGGTTGTTTTGTTGTTTTGAGACAGGATCTCCCTATGTAGTGCAGGCTGACCTGGCATTTGAAGCCACCCTCCTGCCTCAGCCTCCTGAGTGCTGGGCATTTCTGTCCAGGATCCCCTCTGCCCCGTGCTGACCCCAGCCCCTCTTCCCCAGGTGCGCTACAAGGAAGAATTTGAGAAAAACAAGGGCAAAGGCTTCAGCGTGGTGGCGGACACTCCTGAGCTCCAGAGAATCAAGAAGACCCAGGACCAGATCAGCAACGTGAGCGCCCTCCCCTGCCGGCCCCTGGCCAGCCCAGCCGTAGTGGCTGGAACAGAGGGAGGGGCTGGGGCTGGCGTCCGTCCGTCCGTCCGTCCGTCCGTCCGCCCGCCCGCCCGCCCTCCCGCCCGCGGGGTGTGCGGGCTGGAGCCTGTGTCCTCGCTGCTCTGCAGCTGCCAGCCTTTCTGCTGGGTGTGGTGGGTGTTAGGGTGCAGACCCGCCTCCGTGCCACCTCCCCCGCTCCCCTGGGCTGACATCACAGGCATTTCCTCCCGCCACAGTCTTCCTTCCTGTGTCACAGCCCGCTGTGTCACCATGCCCCTGTTCCCAGTACTCCTTTGTGAGTGCCTTTGGATCAGGGTCCCCACAGACTCGGGGGACAGAGCAGTCTGGGTGGCTCTGGCCAACTGGGCACGTGGGGCAGGGCGTTGCCGCCAGCCTCACATATGTGGGGCCCAATGCAGCGCCGCAGCCGCAGAGGGCACCATGTGCTGCCACGTGGCTCTGGGCTGAGGGACCGGGGTGGCTTCGAACCCCACGCTGCAGAAAGGAAAAGCTTCGCGGTGAGCTCTGGTGCCTGAGAGTGACCTTTGCAGCAGACGCCGTCCCTGCCGCTCTCCCTGGACTGCCAGGGCCCTTCGCTCTCCCTGCCAGGGCCCTGCCGCTCTGCCTGGATGGCCGCCAGGGCCACCAGGGCCCTTTGCTGCTGTTTGAGGCATCCAAGTAACAGAACTCACGGGGCCCAGGCGTTGGCACCAAGGCTCCGATCGCTGTCGTGGCAGCTCAGGCCACATTGACCCGAGGGTCCCCAGGGCCACCTCGGAGCTGAAGGCTGTCTCAGTACACACAGGGAAGCTTGTCTGCCAGATGCAGCCCTGACCAACCTTGCCAGGACTGGGCAGCGGCCAGGGGCCCCTGGAAGGCACACTTGGGGGTCACTGTGGTGCCCCCTGCTGTCCCGGAGCCATCACTCCCAGAAGTCAAGGTCTACTGGCTGGCCATGTCCCTGGGCCCAGACGGAACCCAAACCATGCTGAGAACAAGCTGAAGCTGGGCACAGTAGCGCACACTTATAACCCCGGTTCTTGGGAGGCTGAGGCAGGAGGATCTCCATGGGTTTTGAGGCCTGTCTGGGCTACATAGAAAAACCCTATTTTAAAAAACCAAAAGCAGCCGGGGAGATGGCTCAGTGGAATAAGCGCTTCCTTGGCAAGCACAAGGGCCTGAGTTCAATCCCCAGTTCTGCAAAAAAAGAAAACCAAAAGCAAATATACTACTACTATTACTAATGATGACAATGATAATAAGAAAAGGTTTGGGATATAGCTCAGTGGTAGACCTGGTGTGTGAGGCCCTGGGTTCAGCCGCCAGGACCACAGCACACACAGGCTGGCAGCCCCCTTCCTGTGCGCTGGTGATTGTGCTCAAGTTGCCACCCAGTATCGAGTGACCCTGAGCAGCCCCTGCTGCGGATCCTCCAGTTTACTTTTGAGCTTGCTGTGTTCTGCTTCTGACTGAGCACTCCCGAGCAGTAGTTTCGTTTTTGCCTGATTGTGAAAGTAACTGCAGTGTTAGAGTCGCACCTCTGGGCATAGCTCCGTGCAGAGCGCCTGCCTAGCAGGTACAAAGCCCAAGCTCCACCTCCATCCCTGCTCAAAAGCAGGGGACATCATTTGTGCTTTTTCATTGCCATCTGATATTCCATGTGTGATTGTGCTGCAGTTTATTATGTTGTGAATGGGTGTTTGGGATTTTTCTACTACTAATGAAGTTGAGCCCAGAGTTATGCACTTAACAAGTAAAGGACTGTGTGAGTCTACCAGAGGGCACTGTCACCTGGTGGGTGGAACCTGGCCTCTGCCTTACCCCGCTGCTTACCCGCCTCCCTAGCCCTGCATTCCTCAGCCATAAAATGGCTGTGGCACCTTGGGGCTGAAGACAGGCCCCGGAAGGGCCACTAACAAGCGCAGCCTGGGCAGTGAGTGGGTGTTCCGCTCCCCACCCGCCTGCTGACTCCTCTCTGCCCAGCTCCGCAGAGCCTGTGAGCAGCAGCGAGGCAGGCTTGGTTTCTGCCGCAGTCAGAAGCAGAGTCTTCCGCAGAGGAACATCCGCAGCACCAGTCACCTTAGAGTCCTGGCCCTTGGGGGCTGTGCAGGGCCCCCAAGGCAAGGGACAGGGTGGGCAATGGCTGACCCTGGCCTGTGCCCCCAAGGGACGCGTGCTCTGCCTGGCCCTAGGGCTCGGGCCACAGTGTAGGTCCCTCGGTCTTCATCCTTCCTTTATTCTAAGCAACAGCAGTCTGGCTCGGCTCCTTTCCCTGTTCCCTGTGCCACTGTGTTCCAGGCTGGCACAGGGCAGGGCGGTGTCCCAGGGAACAGGAAGTGACAGTGGCCTCCAGCCAGGTCCCTGGCCTCCTGTGGGCATTGGGCAGGGCCTTGCGGCTTCCTCCACCTTCTCCCTCCTTGAGCCAGCCGCCCACTCAGCCTGGCGGGCCCAGCCCTCTGTCCCACTTCCTCCTCAGCTTGGCCTCACTTGGGGTGCAGTGTGGACATTTGTCCCTTGAAGCCTCGGGGCAGAAATCTCAGTGTTCCTGCATCTTATGTCGTGTGTGTGTGTGTGTGTGTGTGTGTGAGCGCGCGCGTGTGCATGCAACCCGGAGCGTACATCCTGAAATTTGTGTCATTTACAGAATACATGTGACTGGGGAGGCTTGTGCTAAAATGTGTCACTGGCAGGAGTGCAGAGTCATAGCCAGGGGTGGCATCTGTCACCCAGCACTTGGGAGGCTGAGGCAGGAAGATCTAAGGCCAGCCTGAACTACGTACACAGAAAGACCCTGTCTTAAATCCAGAAACAAAGGAGCAGGGGCCGGGGAGATAGCTCAGTTGAATAAGTGCTTGCCTGGCAAGTGCGAGGGCATGAGTTCAATTCCCAGCTCCGCAAAACAAAAAAACCCAAAGGAGCCATGGTCATCTCTTGGGGCCGGGAAGGGTCGAGTGCTGAGCAGATTCCGAGAGCAGCCAGTGATAGGGTGCCCTCCAGGAAGAGAAGCTTGGCACACAAACCGCAGTCACAGTTGGGGTGATGGGTGGGAGCGGGGACGTGTAGGTGACAGTGTCTGGTGTGTGGCCCTTTGAGAAGTGCAGATGGAGGCTCAGGGAGGCTGAGCCACATGGTGAGTCCTTGGGCAGCTCATCCACCCCGAGAGCCTTCGATTTATTTTATTTTATTTTATTTATTATTATTATTTTTTTAATTTTATTTTTTGCGGTGCAGGGGGTTGAACCCAGGCCCGTGGCACAAGGCGACATCCGTAGCCTGTGTTTTGTTTCTGGACAGGGTCTCACCAAGTAACCAGGGGTGGACTCAAACTTGCAATCCTCCTGCCTCAGCCTCCAGGATAGTGGCTTGAATCCTAGGGTCTTCAGCATTGGCGGCGGTTTCTGGCTGCTTTGCCCTGGGCTCCTTCTTGACTCAGCCTCCTGCCCTGCAGATAAAGTACCACGAGGAGTTCGAGAAGAGCCGCATGGGCCCCAGTGGCGGCGAAGGCGTGGAGCCGGACCGCAGGGACTCGCAGGACAGTGGCGGCTACCGGCGGCCCCCGGAGCAGCACTCACAGCCGCACCACATCCCGACCAGTGCCCCCGGTGGGTGTGGGTGCAGAGGCTGCAGAAGGCCTCCTCCTCGGCAGGGGGCCAGGGCTGAGCCAGGCTGGGGGTGGGGAAGGACACAGCCCTGCTGGGGCGCCCCACATGGACACACATGCACGGGTGACTGGGACTTTAGGTGGGGGCAAATGACCTTGGCATGACCCCGGCTTTGTGAGGAGGGCTCTGGGCACGTTCTGACCTCTGACCCCTGAACCCCCAGTTTACCAGCAGCAGCAGCAGCAGCAGCAGCAGGCAGCTCCGTCATATGGCGTGCCCACGGCTCCTGGCTCCATACAGCGCAGCGCCCCAGGTGGTGGTGGGGTAAGTAGGGGCAGTGGGACGGGATGGGGGGCTCACAGGTCCTCCTGCCTCTGACCCCAGCTCCGCGTGCCCCTGTCCTGTGTGGGGAGCAGGTCTGGGCCTCACAAGCTGGAGGAAGTAAGTGGTCCTCAGACACAGGGCTGCAGCTGGACTTGGGATGACCTTGGGGGCCGCTCCCGGCTGTGATGCCTGGGTGCACGCAGGCCCCTGTCTGTGTGGGTCTTTCCAGGCTTGGGAGGCCACCTGTTTTCATGAGGAGACCCCACCCTCTGCGCCTCCCAGGCCTTTCTGTCTGTGGTTTTCCCCATTCCTGTCCCTCAGGCCTACCCAGGCTCTCTTAGTGCTGCTTTCCAGCCTCTTTCCTGGATCCGGGGGCAGAACCCAGGGCCTTTGCACCAAGCAGCAGCCCCTACCCTTTTGTTTGAGAGGTGAACTTGCAATCCTCCTGCCTCAGCCTCCCAGAAAGCTGGGATCACCGGCGTGTGCCACCACGCCCAGCACACGTGTGCCACTTTACCAAGCTTCTCTCCCTTGGTTCACCTGCTGGGAGCCAGGGAAGGCAGACGGGCTCCGACTCAGCAGGCCTGCCTGTGGCAGTGCCAGCCTGTACGTCCTGCTGCACGTCCCCTGGAGGGAACAGCCAGATCTCCACCATGCCAGGGGCTTGGGACACAAGGCAGCTTGTGTGAGGGCACGAGAGACAGGTCGCAGGGGAGTGGAATGGCTGCGGTAAGCAGCCCGGAGCCTCTACCTCTGGACATGTGGCATGGCGTGGGCACTGAGGTTCCAGGTGACCGCCAGCCCCCCACATAGCTGCTCCTCTGTCTTGGGTCTGATCACTGTCCTGCCCTCTGGGGACAGCTTCTGTCTAGTAAAAGAGAAATCAGTGTACAGGTCTGGAATGTCAGGTCCTAGCATGGCATGTGCCCTGAAGGCAGCCAGCGGGGTGGGGGCCATGGGCAGCAGGGTCAAGGTGTGGCATTTGCTGGGCATGGTGGCACCTACCTGTGATCCCAGTACCTGGGAGAGGCTGAGGCAGGAGGATCTCTTGAGTTCAAGGCCAGTCTCAACTACATGGAGAAATCTTGTCTGATTAAATGAAACAGACAAAAACCAATTCTAGTAACAGAGCTCATCTGCTTTAAACACTGTCTGGCCTGTATCTGTCCTTATTGGGTCTGTGCAGAGGCAGGTGGGATGGGGTGACTGCCCTAGCTCTCGCTCTGTCTGTGTCTCTGTGTGTCTGTCTATCTTGTCTGTGTGTGTCTCTGTGTGTGTGTCTCTGTCTCTCTCTCTCTCTCTCTCTCTCTCTCTCTTTCTCTCTCTGTCTCTCTCTCTCTCTCTCAGATTGAACTCAGGACCTTGCGCTTGCCAGGCAGGCACTTATGCCACTGAGCTATCTCCCTGGCCCTTGTCCCAGCCTTTCTGTCCCCATCTGACCCTTAGTGGATGCCAGGTGCTCTGTGAAAGGACCCAGAAGTTAAGGCTCAGATTAGTGAGTGGTCACAGCCGAGCGCAGCCTGGTCCCAGATTCAACCCTGGTGTCCGTGAGAATCAGAAGCAATGTGGGAAGCACTCGGTCCCGTGCCGGCAGCCTGCATGGCTGCACACGACCACCCTGTACCCCCAGAAGCGGTACCGCGCAGTATATGACTACAGCGCCGCGGACGAGGACGAGGTCTCCTTCCAGGATGGCGACACCATTGTCAACGTGCAGCAGATTGACGACGGCTGGATGTATGGCACCGTGGAGCGCACAGGCGACACAGGGATGCTGCCCGCCAACTACGTGGAGGCCATCTGAGCCCGTGCCCGCACCTCCACCCGCCGCCTCGCCTGTCGCCTTCCCTGTCTCTGTCTTTTAAGATCTGCAACAGCTTGTTTGCCCCACCTCCTCCAGCTGCTCTGGCTGGCCCTGCCGTCCTGCGGGCGCCCTCTCTGCCAGTCCCCCCAACAGCAGGGCTGGGACTGCACCCGAGGCTGCCTTTCCCGCCCCGGCCACCTGCCTGTCCTCCAGCCCCAGGCTGCACCACTCACCCCCTGGTGGGGGCCCTGAGGCAGGTGGTCCATCCTTTTTTCATCTAGGGGGCACCCTTCCTCCCCTTTGCCACCTCCAGGGCCACCAGAGAGTAGAGTGCCCGCTCAAGAGCATCTTTGCCCCCCCCCCCCCCCCCCCGCCCTTGAGCATTTGCTTGCTGCCTGCAGAGAACTCTGGATCAGGTTTTCAGGGGTAGCTACGGGAAAGGGAGGAGCCCTTTCCCTGCCTCGTCCCCCCTAGTCCCCAATCCTCTGAGGATTCCCCTGGTCTCCCCTCCCCTCCCCAGTGCCATGAGGCCCTGGAGCTAGCAGGAGCCACAGGGACCTTGGTGTCTCCAAGGTGGTGCATGGGGCTGTGACAGGCAAGGACCCACAGGGGCAGGGTGAGCGGTGCCCTGGCACTGGGCAAGGAGAAGGCCGTGCTGGTCAGCAGTGTGTTCTCTTCCTGGGCCCTGAAGGACCCGAGTCGCCCATGCTGATGGCGCCTTGGACCAACCCCCCCCCCCAACCTCCCATGTAGCAAGGTGGGGCCCTGGGCTCCTGACCAGAAGCAGATTTCGGGCAGAGGCAGAAGTTGGTGCTATGCCTGGGTTCTTCCTGCAGCTGGGACTTGCCTGGCTTCATTCATCTCGAGTCTCGTCGCTCCCCTGGGCTCCTCTTAGCTTTGCCCGGAGTCTGGCCCCAGCTGGCACCCAGTGTTGGGGACCCTGCACAGCCCCCGTGCTGAGCCACAGCGGATGCCCTACCCCATGCACACCTGACCTGCAGGTGGGCAGCTGATGTTACCCTGGGGCTCTACAGTAGGGGCGCTGTTTGTCCTCTTGGTCACTTTGGAGACAGGAGAAGCGCTGGTCAACTCCATTTCCTTTTGATTTCAAAGCACAACGTGGATCTGGGGACCAGAGGTCTGGGACATGGCCTATGGGGGTGGGGCTTCCTCCTGAGGGACCAGAGCACTGGTGACCTCAAAATTCCCTTCCTAATCAACACAAGCAGCTGCTCCTTCTGCGTCTTGCCCTAAGAAGGGGACGTGTGCCCACGAATGGGGGCTCTCGCTGGTGCTGAGGGGCCCAGGACCCTGCCTGGACCCACCGCCCTAGGCACAGGATCTCACCCTGGGCTTCTTGGGCAGGGACCTTTTAGGCACCCTCATCCGGGGATCCAAGAGGCTGGGAGTTAGAATGTGACCATGATTTTCGGGACCAATCCTCCACGGTGACACCCGTGGGCTCTCCCAATACCACTTCCTGGTTTCCCCCTCACGTCCCTCCAGGAAAAACTCCTTTAGTGCTTCATTTCTGCCTCTTTCACATAATGCACTTTGGGGCCTTTTTTTTTTTTAATAGCTGGAGAAAACAAAACAGTCCCACCCCACAAGCCTGTATTTAAAGAGAAGTGACCCTGTGAGATTCGCCTTTGTCCAAACATTTCATAGTCTGTGTGTGTGAAGCACCCGCTCATCTTTTTATATGGGGTTTGTTGTCTTTTTTGGTCTCTTTGGTCCCCTCCCTCGTGGGCTTGTGCTCCGAATCAAATCTTCTGGGCCTGTTATGATTTTGAACATTTGACTTGAACCACAAGTGAATCTTTCTCCTGGTGACTCAAATAAAAGTATAATTTTTACTGCAGACTAGGCTTTCGCCATGGTTCTGGGTGCTGTGGGATTCGTTCTGTTGATCTGCGGACGTGGGCCTGTCACCCCCAGGAGCCCCACAGAGAGCAAAGCCAGTGTGGAGGCGAGGGGAACCGTGGTCCCTGCCCCAGTCCTGGCAGCTGCTGCTTCCTTAGGAACAAAGGTGACAGGCCTACAGCCCCTTTCTGTCAGGCTGGAATTCAGTGTGTGTTTAGGGAGTGACCAGGGGCAGACAGCCCCTGGTGGGACAAAATACAGGGTAAATCTCTGTCCTTGATCTCACTACCCAAGGCAGCCTTGAAGTGTGATCTGTTTGTATTTTATTGTTTGGCTTTTTTTTTTTTTTTTGAGTTGGGGTCTTACTATGCAGTTCAGACTGGCCTTGAACTCACGATGATTCTCCTGCCTCAGCCTCCTGAATGCTGGGATTGCAGGCAGGTTCCACCATGGTACACAACATTATCCTTCCATCTTTCTAGCGGCCCCAAGAAGGAAGTAGCTGCTTCGATACCCATCTTACCCAGATAGCTTGGTGAAAGCCGCAGGGCTGGTGACAGCTGGGCCTTCTGCCACAGTGGTACTCTCTAGTATTGGGCGCTGGGGATCTTGCTCTGGCATAAGTGCCTGCCTGGCAAGTGCAAGGTCCTGAGGTACTGCCCACCCCCCAAATATTCTCTAGTATCTTTCTTTGTGGTACAGGGATCAAACCTGGGACCTTCCACTTGCCAGGCAGGCGCTTATGCCACTGAGCTACCTCCCTGGCGCTTCTGGTATCTTTTTCCTTTTTTCCCCCCAGTGTTTCTCTCACTCTCAGGCTGCCTGGGGGCCTGGGCCTGGCCCTCCCTCTGCAGGTGCAGGCCCTTGGAGTCACCTGTGCTTAGTATGGCTCCCGGTGGCAGGAGCTGAGACTGCAGCCTCTGAGAGGGATGGTGGTGGGGCGGGCCTTTCCTCTCCAGCCTTCTCTGGTCTCTGCTGGCCAAAGTGGGCAGAGAGCAAGGGCTTCCCTGAGTGCCAGGACCAAAGTCCCCAGAGCTGGGGCAGAGGTGGAGGCTTAGTGGCACAGGCCTTGCCCACCCCCAAAATCCCCCAGGAGGGGGACTGCCCATTAGCCCAGTTTAAGTGCCTGCTTAAACAAAGCCCTTAGCCTCAGGGAGCTGTGGTTGGATACCCAGATACTCAGACCAATCCAGACCAGTGCTGGAGGCAATCTGAGGCCAATGGGGGTGGGCTGGGGGTCCACCTAGCTGCCTGCCATGTCCCAGGAGGGGGGCAGTTGGCACGCCTGCCTCCTGAGGCCTCCCACAACTTCAGAGGAATGGGAGGGGCAGAGGGCTTTGGAGGACATTGGTGCCGAGTGTCACCTCCACCACCTTCCTAGAGCTTGTCTGCCTCCTGGGGACACCTGGGCTAGTGACAGGAGTTCTGACCCCCTTTGGGGATGGAGCTGAGCTCCTGAGGCCCAGCACTGTACGTGTGTGGAGTGGTGGAGGCCTGGTGTGGTGGTGCACACCTTAGTCCCAGCACTGAGGAGGCTGAGGAAGGAGGATCTCCCGGAGTTCAAGGCCAGCCTAAACTACATTGTGAGAGCCTCTCAAAAACAAAAAACTGCCGAGGAGATGGCTCAATAGGATAAGCGCTTGACTGGCAAACGCAAGGATCTGAGTTCAATCCCCGGTTCCGCCAAAAAAAAAAAAACCCCAACAGCTGCTTGGGGCAAGGCCAAGCAGACTGGGCCTCAGCGATGTGCCAGGGAAATGTAACAGGAAATATTTGAAACTTATAAACGGCACACAGCCAGGAAAGACAGCTACCTGAGTCTTGAGAATGAGACATCAGACCGGGGAGATCGCTCAGCAGTCTAAGCGCCTGCTGGCAAGTGCAAGGACGGGGTTTGATCCCAGGTACGGCTTGCCGTGCCGGCCCTGGGGCCACTGAAGCCTGGTGTGGTAGAGCATGCCTGTAATCCCAGCGTTGGGGAGGCTCACACAGGAGGATCACTACGAGTTTGAGCTGCATAATGAGATCCTGTATCAGTTGGGGAAGAAAAAGAGTGAGACATCAATTGCTCTTCCCTCAGAAGAAATCTCTTATATTCTGCACCCAAGCTGGGCACTGCTTAGCCGCAAAGCATTAGGGGAGCCCCTCGCAGACCCAGAGCAGCACCCTGGAAACGCTGGCTCCGTCCCCAGCGATGCCACCTGCAACCCCCCAGACTGCTGCCCGCGCCTGCCCCCTACGGCCTGCCTTCCTGTCGCCTCTTGCCGATGGCCCAACCAGCTACCAGCCATTGTTTCTGATGCAATTTGTTGGAGATAGTCCAAGTGAGGAAAGGGAAAGAAGAAGGGCAGGTGGGAGAGTGCGTTCATCCGGGCGTCTGGAGAGAGGCCTTCGCTGCGCACCTCCCGGGCAGCTGCTGGGCACGCGTGCAGACAGCGCTTGCACACCGCGAGGCCCGCCCTGTTCCCAGCCGGCTGGGTCCTGCCGGGTCCGCAGCAGCGCCCTGGTTACCGCGCCCGCCTCCTGATTGGCTGCTGGCGCGGGGGCGGGGCGGGGACGGCGGGCGCGTCCTGCGTGCCGGGAGCCGCCTCGGCGGGGACCGCTGTCTGCGCGCCGCGCCCGCCCCGCCGGATCCGGGCCTGCAGGGCCTCCGGGGCCTGGGACGCACGATGCTGGATGTTTTCATCCTGATGTTCTTCGCCATCATAGGCCTGGTCGTTCTCTCCTACATCATCTACCTGCTCTAGGGCTCGCAGCGATGCGGCCGCAGGGCCGCGCTCCACGCTCGCGGTCGGCTCGGGCGGGTCTTTGCATCGGCTCATTATTTCGGGTAGTGACTCGAAATTCACGTGAAAGGAGAGCGTGTTTTCCTGCCCATTTCTCATGCGTACTAATGTAGCAATCCTGGGACCACTCTGCAAAGACTAAGACATGCGGGCTTCCTTCTCGGGGACCTAGTGTCACCCCCGCCCGGGATCGTCGGGAGGATGGGAGCGGGGCGCGGGCCCAGGGCGACCCCGCCACCGTCCGGCGCGAGGCGGGCGCGGCCGCTGCAGGTAAGACGCGTCGGTCGGCAGCGGGGCGCGGGGCTGCGGAGCGAGCTCTCCGGGGGTCGCCCTCGCTCCCGGGGACGGCACCGAGGGGTCCCCCGGGTGGGGTCTGTCCCAGCGGCGGGCGCCCTGGACGCGGCGCCGCTGAGCGTTTTGCGGCTTTCCCGCAGGGCCGCGCAGCGACGGAGAAGACGCTCTGGGGACGCCGCGACGGCGCAGACTCCGAGGCGGCCC